TGGCGGCCATATTGGATTTCTGATCGACCCGAAAAATAACAACACTTTGTCAGGACCATGAGGCGATCATTCCTACCAACTTTCAGTTCAATCGGTCCAGCAGAACTTGACTTTAAGTTTGAAATAGGTTTTCAAAATGGCGGCCGTGGCGGCCATATTGGATTTCTGATCGACCCGAAAAATAACAACACTTTGTCAGGACCATGAGGCGATCATTCCTACCAACTTTCAGTTCAATCGGCCCAGCAGAACTTGACTTTAAGTTTGAAATGTAAAATGTTAACGGACGACGGACGACGGACGACGACGGACGAAAACGGATAGCAATAGGTCACTTGAGCTAAAGCTCAGGTGACCTAAAAACAACTGAATTAAAGTCTGGATTGCTTTGAAATACTTCAATATTGAAAGAACACACTGTTCTGTCAATAATAAACATACAATATTCATCAGTTTGATACTCATCAGTTTGATATTAAACATTAGAATATGCAGAAATTGTGATACTGTCTCCCTACATTGGATTTTCAACTAGGGATGTACTTCCTATTTCCGTTTATCAATACACTCCTATGACCTTAATTTAAGAATCCACTGTATCTCTTTGCTATCCTTCTCATCAGCATTTTGAAACGGATACCAGTATTATGGACCTAACTGAAAATCCTACAAAAATCTAATGTCTACTAATTATACAAGCATGCTATTAAACACGACAGACTGCAGATAGATGAGGGACAATGCAAAGCACCATCACATGAGCTAACAATGAAAATTATCATTTAATGTTTTAGCTTATAAAATGTCCACAATTTTGATGTAATTTTAATGATTCAGATGAGAAAAATACTGGGTTCATAACTTAAGAACCAAGGACTTTTAAGAATTGGAAATTTCCAATTATATAATTAGGTCATACCAATTCCTGTTCCAACACTCCAGTTCCCAAGTAAAGGGAGGCAAGCACCACTCTTTTCTTAGCCTGCTTCACTCTCACCTGAAAGATTGTTGGTGGTAAGGCAAACTTTCTGTTGTCTAATCATTTCCACATGATCATAACTACTATACATATGTATAAGCATTGTTCTCAATAACTAGTAAAAGCCAGTTCCTAGTGAAAGTAACCTATTTTTCATCAAATTTTGAAGCAGTAATTATTGTTATACAAATACGTCAACATAACAACATGTGAACAATTAACAGACTATTCTTTCAAGCTGACCACCTGTTACTGAGAACACTTACATGCATATGCATGTAACTTGTGTAGAAATACAATTATCAATTTATATCCTTGTATAGTAATCAAAATAGATTTTTAGGTGAAATTTTACACTACCAGGTAATAGTTTTGTTTTCTCCTCAAGTATTATTACATAGGAACCAAAGTATAACTTTATATTGTATGAACTTATATATACATACATAAACAATTTGCTGATAATTAGAATAAATCACCTGTTAGGTTTATAGTTAGAAGATATTACCTGTTAATTTAATAATCAGAATAATCTCTTTAGTTTATAATAAGAAGAGATTACCTTTAAAGTTTCATAAAACTGATCTGGTTGCTGTAGGACCTGTACTTGGTGGCCATTAATACCAAAACACGGAGCCTTATTGCCAATCCAGGAAAAGGCATGCTTGACCTGGTCGTTTGTCGTTATATTTAGGTCCTCCACATCACTGATCTGTCGCTGGATGTCTCTCATGCAGTTGGTCTGAGATAGATATCTATAAAACAAAAACATATTTAGATGAACATTAAAGCTTGCTTTTGTAAAACTCAACAGTATCGTAAAAACATTTTAATTTAACCAGGCGTTGGAGTTAATCAGATTTTAATATCAAAGAATGAAATCATGCCAATGATGTTAAGTATACATTAATATACAATTTTAATGTGTAATATTAACATTCTTATATTTTTGTATGTACATTAATACACAATTCATTTTTGTATATATCTATTATGCTGTGTTTTTTAAACATCCATTAATATACATACATTTTTGTATGTCTATTGTATTGTGTTTTATAAACATCCATATAAATATATTTGTGTATGTCTATTGTACTCTGTTGTATAAACATCCATTAATATACAATATACTTTTTGGATATTTATCCAAGTTTATTGTACTGTGTTTTTTAAACAACCTTTAATAATACATATACACTTATGGATGTCTATTGTATTGTGTTTTATAAACATCTATTAATATACATAAACACTTATGGATATCTATTGTATTGTGTTTTATAAACATCCATTAATATGCACATATTTTTGTATGTCTATTTTACTGTGTTTTATAAATATCCATATAAACATATTTGTGTATGTCTATTGTACTGTGTTTTATAAACATCTATTAATATACAATATATTTTTGTAAGTATATTGTACTGTGTTTGATAAACATTCATTAATATACATATATTTTTGTAATATTGTATTGTGTTTTATAAACATCCATTAATATACATATATTTTTGGGATGTCTATTGTACTGTGTTTTATAAATATCCATATAAATATATTTGTGTATGTCTATTGTACTGTGTTTTGTAAACATCTATTAATATACGATATATTTTTGTAAGTATATTGTACTGTGTTTGATAAACATTCATTTATATACATATATTTTTGTAATATTGTACTGTGTTTTATAAACATCTATTTATATACAATATATTTTTGTAAGTCTATTGTACTGTGTTTTATAAACATCCATTAATATACAATATGTTTTTGTAAATGATTTATAAACATCCATTAATATACATATATTTGTGTATGTCTATTGTATTGTGTTTTATAAACATCCATTAGTAAACATACATTTTTGTTCTATTGTATTGTGTTTTATGTTGTGTATGTCTGTTGTATTGTGTAATACATGTATGTTTTGTATGTCTATTGTATTGTGTTATATGTTTTGTATGTCTGTTGTATTGTGTTATATGTTTTGTATGTCTATTGTATTGTGTTATATGTTTTGTTTGTCTATTGTATTGTGTTATATGTTTTGTATGTCTATTGTATTGTGTTATATGTTTTGTATGTCTATTGTATTGTGTTATATGTTTTGTATGTCTATTGTATTGTGTTATATGTTTTGTATGTCTATTGTATTGTGTTATATGTTTTGTATGTCTATTGTATTGTGTTATATGTTTTGTATGTCTATTGTATTGTGTTATATGTTTTGTATGTCTATTGTATTGTGTTATATGTTTTGTATGTCTATTGTATTGTGTTATATGTTTTGTATGTCTATTGTATTGTGTTATATGTTTTGTATGTCTATTGTATTGTGTTATATGTTTTGTATGTCTATTGTATTGTGTTATATGTTTTGTATGTCTATTGTATTGTGTTATATGTTTTGTATGTCTATTGTATTGTGTTATATGTTTTGTATGTCTATTGTATTGTGTTATATGTTTTGTATGTCTATTGTATTGTGTTATATGTTTTGTATGTCTATTGTATTGTGTTATATGTTTTGTATGTCTATTGTATTGTGTTATATGTTTTGTATGTCTATTGTATTGTGTTATATGTTTTGTATGTCTATTGTATTGTGTTATATGTTTTGTATGTCTATTGTATTGTGTTATATGTTTTGTATGTCTATTGTATTGTGTTATATGTTTTGTATGTCTATTGTATTGTGTTATATGTTTTGTATGTCTATTGTATTGTGTTATATGTTTTGTATGTCTATTGTATTGTGTTATATGTTTTGTATGTCTATTGTATTGTGTTATATGTTTTGTATGTCTATTGTATTGTGTTATATGTTTTGTATGTCTATTGTATTGTGTTATATGTTTTGTATGTCTATTGTATTGTGTTATATGTTTTGTATGTCTATTGTATTGTGTTATATGTTTTGTATGTCTATTGTATTGTGTTATATGTTTTGTATGTCTATTGTATTGTGTTATATGTTTTGTATGTCTATTGTATTGTGTTATATGTTTTGTATGTCTATTGTATTGTGTTATATGTTTTGTATGTCTATTGTATTGTGTTATATGTTTTGTATGTCTATTGTATTGTGTTATATGTTTTGTATGTCTATTGTATTGTGTTATATGTTTTGTATGTCTATTGTATTGTGTTATATGTTTTGTATGTCTATTGTATTGTGTTATATGTTTTGTATGTCTATTGTATTGTGTTATATGTTTTGTATGTCTATTGTATTGTGTTATATGTTTTGTATGTCTATTGTATTGTGTTATATGTTTTGTATGTCTATTGTATTGTGTTATATGTTTTGTATGTCTATTGTATTGTGTTATATGTTTTGTATGTCTATTGTATTGTGTTATATGTTTTGTATGTCTATTGTATTGTGTTATATGTTTTGTATGTCTATTGTATTGTGTTATATGTTTTGTATGTCTATTGTATTGTGTTATATGTTTTGTATGTCTATTGTATTGTGTTATATGTTTTGTATGTCTATTGTATTGTGTTATATGTTTTGTATGTCTATTGTATTGTGTTATATGTTTTGTATGTCTATTGTATTGTGTTATATGTTTTGTATGTCTATTGTATTGTGTTATATGTTTTGTATGTCTATTGTATTGTGTTATATGTTTTGTATGTCTATTGTATTGTGTTATATGTTTTGTATGTCTATTGTATTGTGTTATATGTTTTGTATGTCTATTGTATTGTGTTATATGTTTTGTATGTCTATTGTATTGTGTTATATGTTTTGTATGTCTATTGTATTGTGTTATATGTTTTGTATGTCTATTGTATTGTGTTATATGTTTTGTATGTCTATTGTATTGTGTTATATGTTTTGTATGTCTATTGTATTGTGTTATATGTTTTGTATGTCTATTGTATTGTGTTATATGTTTTGTATGTCTATTGTATTGTGTTATATGTTTTGTATGTCTATTGTATTGTGTTATATGTTTTGTATGTCTATTGTATTGTGTTATATGTTTTGTATGTCTATTGTATTGTGTTATATGTTTTGTATGTCTATTGTATTGTGTTATATGTTTTGTATGTCTATTGTATTGTGTTATATGTTTTGTATGTCTATTGTATTGTGTTATATGTTTTGTATGTCTATTGTATTGTGTTATATGTTTTGTATGTCTATTGTATTGTGTTATATGTTTTGTATGTCTATTGTATTGTGTTATATGTTTTGTATGTCTATTGTATTGTGTTATATGTTTTGTATGTCTATTGTATTGTGTTATATGTTTTGTATGTCTATTGTATTGTGTTATATGTTTTGTATGTCTATTGTATTGTGTTATATGTTTTGTATGTCTATTGTATTGTGTTATATGTTTTGTATGTCTATTGTATTGTGTTATATGTTTTGTATGTCTATTGTATTGTGTTATATGTTTTGTATGTCTATTGTATTGTGTTATATGTTTTGTATGTCTATTGTATTGTGTTATATGTTTTGTATGTCTATTGTATTGTGTTATATGTTTTGTATGTCTATTGTATTGTGTTATATGTTTTGTATGTCTATTGTATTGTGTTATATGTTTTGTATGTCTATTGTATTGTGTTATATGTTTTGTATGTCTATTGTATTGTGTTATATGTTTTGTATGTCTATTGTATTGTGTTATATGTTTTGTATGTCTATTGTATTGTGTTATATGTTTTGTATGTCTATTGTATTGTGTTATATGTTTTGTATGTCTATTGTATTGTGTTATATGTTTTGTATGTCTATTGTATTGTGTTATATGTTTTGTATGTCTATTGTATTGTGTTATATGTTTTGTATGTCTATTGTATTGTGTTATATGTTTTGTATGTCTATTGTATTGTGTTATATGTTTTGTATGTCTATTGTATTGTGTTATATGTTTTGTATGTCTATTGTATTGTGTTATATGTTTTGTATGTCTATTGTATTGTGTTATATGTTTTGTATGTCTATTGTATTGTGTTATATGTTTTGTATGTCTATTGTATTGTGTTATATGTTTTGTATGTCTATTGTATTGTGTTATATGTTTTGTATGTCTATTGTATTGTGTTATATGTTTTGTATGTCTATTGTATTGTGTTATATGTTTTGTATGTCTATTGTATTGTGTTATATGTTTTGTATGTCTATTGTATTGTGTTATATGTTTTGTATGTCTATTGTATTGTGTTATATGTTTTGTATGTCTATTGTATTGTGTTATATGTTTTGTATGTCTATTGTATTGTGTTATATGTTTTGTATGTCTATTGTATTGTGTTATATGTTTTGTATGTCTATTGTATTGTGTTATATGTTTTGTATGTCTATTGTATTGTGTTATATGTTTTGTATGTCTATTGTATTGTGTTATATGTTTTGTATGTCTATTGTATTGTGTTATATGTTTTGTATGTCTATTGTATTGTGTTATATGTTTTGTATGTCTATTGTATTGTGTTATATGTTTTGTATGTCTATTGTATTGTGTTATATGTTTTGTATGTCTATTGTATTGTGTTATATGTTTTGTATGTCTATTGTATTGTGTTATATGTTTTGTATGTCTATTGTATTGTGTTATATGTTTTGTATGTCTATTGTATTGTGTTATATGTTTTGTATGTCTATTGTATTGTGTTATATGTTTTGTATGTCTATTGTATTGTGTTATATGTTTTGTATGTCTATTGTATTGTGTTATATGTTTTGTATGTCTATTGTATTGTGTTATATGTTTTGTATGTC